GTCTCACTCTTGCTCAGGCTGGTCTCGAACTCCTGAGCTTAAACGATCCGCCCGCCTCGGCCTCCCAGAGTGCTAGGATTACAGGCGTGAGCCACCACGCTTGGCTCATTTTTTTTTTTGACAATTTAGAATGTCATGGCCTTCTGGAGAATGTCTGATCTTGCATAGTCAGCAAGTTGAGAATGGGAATTAGAACTCAGATTCTTTGAACCCCGTGCAGTAATTTTTTTCATTATATTATGTTTCCCAAGTCAGGATTCTCTTGTGTTTGGTGTTTTCTTGTTTAAAAAAACACTTTTTGAAGTTAAAACTAATTGGTGATTTATCTTAATAAGAAGTTTTAGTGCCTTCAGTTGAATAAAATTTTAGAACTGAAAGCAACTTTGGATTCAGACTTAGGTGTATAGAAATTTGATATGGGCCAGGGCTGGTATTGCATGTCAGTGGGGAAGAGAACTTTTTATCAATAAATGGTGCTGGAACAGTTTGTTATGTGTTTGGAAAAAAATTAGACTTCTACTGCAAACCATACCCCAAAATCTATTCCAGGTGGATTAAATGTGAAAGTCTAAACTATGAAACTGTTAAAATATAGGAAAAAAAAACCTTATGACTCTAGAATTGAGAAGAGTTTTTAAATAAAATATAATAAACAGAAACCATAAAAGAAAGATTGAAAAATGCCAATTGCATTAAAATTAGGAAGCTTTGTTTGTCACGACACTGTAGTGAAAATGAAAAATACAACAGGGACAAGATATTTAAAATACATGTAATTGACAGAGCAGTGATATCCAGATTATATAACAAATGCCTTTAATCCATGAGAAAAAGATAAATAATTCAACAGAAAAATGAATGAAGACTTGAGTTGCATATTACCAAAGTAGAAACCTGTCTAATAAACATGAAAAGCTGCTCAACCTCCCTAGTAAGTGGAGAAATGCAAGTGAAACCACAATGAGATACCATTTCACACCCAACAGATTGGCAAGAGTGAAAAAGTCTAGCAATTTCAAATATTGGTAAAGATATAGAACAACTGGAATATTTATAAACTGCAGGTGGGAGCTTAGCTGGTACAGCTACCTTGGAAAATAGGTCGACATCATTTTTTCAAGACGAAGGCGTGTTTGCTGCAAGCTCCTTCCACACATGTGCACTAAGAGGTAGATGAAAGAACCTGCATAGCAATATTGTATAGCAAAGCTGTATAGCAAAACTATTAAAAGCAACATAAATTTCTGTGAACAGTAGAACTGATAAATATACTGTCATATATTTATGTAATGAAATATACTATAGCAGTCAAGGTAAATAAATTACAGTGAAAACATGAAAAACACGGATTAAAATTTAGAACATGATATTGAATGATAAAATCAGCATTGGAAAGATATATATACTATGAATACATTTATATAAAATTTGAAATTCTTCAAAATAAGTAATATATTTAGGGTCATAAACAAAGGTAGCAAAATTATAGAGAAAAGCAAGGAAGTAATAAACAAAAATCAAGATAATTGAAAAGAGAATAGGATAGGGAAAGGCTCACAAGGGACCTTGAAGGAAATGGTAAAATTCATGTTCTTAAATGGAGTGGTGAGTCCACACATAATACCTTACATGTACTATTATGTCTTTAAAAAATTATTATGACACATTTATGACACGAACGTATAAAGAATAGCATAATATACTGCAGTTACTTCTGTAATGCCAAATTACCAAACACTGGAAGACCTGAAAAAGTGTATTTATTTTTAAGAAAATGTACAACTGTAGTATTAGAATTTGATTATTGTTTTAGGAAAGTAATTGAATTTTATCTCAAGAATTATGTTTATATTATGCTACTTGAAGGAAAGCTGCATCTTGGTCAGCTGCATCTATACACACACACACACACACACACACACACACACACACACACACACATATAGGTCTTTTGGTCTATGTAATGCTTGATTTCTTATTTATTAACACATTAATGTAGTTTCAATAAAATGCTTATTCTCTTGAAATAGATTTATTTGTTCAGCTACTTATTGTAGATAAAAGGTGCAACTTAGAGAAATTTAGAGAAGTTCTAAAACTGACTTTAATTGTTAATGGAAGTTTTAAGATCTTGAAAATGAGAATGAGATTGACAGGTAAGTTCTACTTCATTCATTTTATCTTAAATATGTATTAAATATCATTTATCCTCTGTTCCCTAATCTGTCACAAAGTCTTTGATCTGATAAACCAAATTATATATACAACTATTATAAAATGTTGAGGGAGAAATTTTAGTTAAGAAAACTTTATAAAATCATATAAATGAATATAGCAAATGTTTTGTTATGATGTTCCTTTCTGTATGCTGTATACTCCAAATTATGTTTAAGTGATTAAATGTTTTCTGTTTTCCTTTAATTTGGAAATCAAATCTACCACCAAATAAAAAGATAGTTTTGACAATGATAGTTGAATGCGATTAGGGCAATTACTAATTTGTACTTTTGAATTGCATGGATTTCTGCCTTTTTTCCTCATATTTCTCCTTTAAAAAATGCTCTAGCTCTCCAGCAGTTCTTGGAAATTGTGCATGAGGAGATAATGCCAGCTCATGAGGAGATGATGTTAGCTTTTTTATGTGTCATTTAAACTTAATCTACAGTCTGGTATCAGCAGGGAGAAAAGGCATTATAAAGGCAAACTGATGATGTTCTCTGTAAATGACTGTGTTACCAGTGATTGGTTATATCCTCAGGGTGGATTCATAGCTGTCGGTGCTTTTATTTCATTTTAATAAAATCTTACTCATTTTGGTTCTTGAATGATTGGCGCAGTAGCTCTATAGCTACATATAAATTGCAGATTTTTTTGTTTGATATTGACCCTCAAAATATATGACTTTGGGTTCATTGTGTTTTTTCTGTTGCACAGAATTCCTGAGTTGCTATTGTTTTTATTCACATGAAATTATGAATGTACTTGGAAAATATCTGGAAAATACTATAATAGCCTTTAACCTTTCCTCAACTTATTTTTTTTTTAAAAAAAAAGCTCGCCAAATTAAGAAAACCCACTCAAAATAAAGGTACCTTTTTTTTTGGTACATATCAATCTTGCTTTAATATTTAATGATAACTCTAAGGAAAGCTATAGAAAATTGATTTGTATTTTAGTTCCATTTCTTCAGGGATAATGCATCCTTTGCACCACTTCTAAAGTTATAGCACAATCTAAGTTTGCATTTATAATCCCAAGGATATGTTAAAAGGCACACACCAATAATATGTCTCTCCTATAGGTAGCTTATATTGTTTAAATTACTGTGGGTTTGGGTTTGCTATTATTTTATCTGTCCTCATCTACTTTTAGAATCAAAGTTAAACTTGTCTCATTGAAGGAATTGGGGATCTTTCTATCTTTTTCTGGTCACAGGAAAGTTTGAATATTTAGAAAGATCTTTAAATCCACTTAGGTCTGGTTTTGGAAAGGGTTGGAAAGATTTTAAATTGTTGATTACATTTTTGAAATATTATAGGTCCAATTTGATCTCCTTTTATAATTACATACTTTCAGATCAGCCACATATACATACACATAACCATAATTTTTTAAAAAAATCAGTTTGGTGTTATTAGTTAATTGTCAATTCTGGCCATATTTACAAATGTATTGGTATAAAGTATTCACAGTGTTCTGTTATTTTTCAAATGTTTTGTTTTTTTATGTAATTATGTCATTGTTTTCATTCCAGATTTTTTTATGTGTATGTCTTCTCCCTTTTTGCTAGACTTTTGTCAACTTTATAACTTTTTAAAAACTATCTTTTGGACTTCTAGTACATGTAGCATTTTAGTTGGAGTACATGTAGTTTGACATAGATTTTTTAACCTATTCAATAAGTAGTATATATTTAGGTTTAAGTTAAAGGATCAAACATTAGACTTTGTTAGCATGTAATTTTTGCTTTTAGTTCTGGGATCTCCTATATGAACAGTTTTAGGAAAAGGGAAAGATGATCATGGACCATACTCATCGGTTCCCTTTCTTTGTGGCTGGATTTGCCAACTGCCCAATATTCAACCACCTATAATTTAAATACTAAATGATTTCAGCTGAGGAAAAAATACTCTTCTTTCTTACAATATCTTAGTTGGTTTTGTGCTGCTGTAACAGAATACCTGAAATTGGGTAATTTATAATAAATGGACATTTATTTGGCTAACAGTTCTGGAAGCTGGGAAGTCTAAGATCAGGGAGCCATATCTGCTGAGAGCCTTCCTGCTGCATCATAACATGGCAGACGTCATCACATGGAAGAGAGCACATGCAAGAGAGTGCACAAGAGATGGCTGAAATTGCATTTATAACAAACCCATTCTTGAGATAACAACCCACTCCCTAGATAATCAACCTACTTTCATAATAACATTTATCTATTTATGAGAACAAATCCCTTATGGCCCAATCACTTGTTATATGCCCCACCTCTCAACCCTGTTGAATTGGGGATTAAGTTTCTAACACATGAACTTTTGGGGGACACATTCAAACCATAGCTCCATAGTGTCTATTTTTTAATTGTAGTAAGAAATTATTAGGAGAAAATAAGTGGCAAAGAAGCTAGTCATTATCAGGGGGTTAGTGCATTTTGGATATAGAAGTTGGGAGATTCTCTATACTGAGAATTATTTTTAATGTTTCTCTCTCCAATGTCCAGTTGTCTCTATTAAGCAAAATAGAAGAAATCTTTTAACCAGTTAATTGATAACTGTTTTTTTTGTTTGATTCTTGAAGAAATAGGAGGTATATTACATTATTATACTATTATACATTACATATTATGTTTTTCCTCTTTTATATATAAAAAATAATTATGGTACTTATGTAAGTGCCAGGTTTATTAAACTTAAATTGTTTTGATACCAAAATTCATATTTAGTTGTATTTTATCACAATTTTGAGTTACAACATTACTATATTCTTTCTTTATTTGATAGATACACACAAATCCATGTTTTTATCAGTCTTCTGAGAAGAGCCAGCTCTTACCATTGAAGACAAATCTATGGCACTGGTTGAATCCTGGAGATAGTTTTTCTTTGTTAGTTGACAAATACATTTTCCGTGTTTTGTCTACAGACTCTGAAATGGAAATGGAATGTACCTTAAGGTAAGATTGTCTGATGAAATGAGAGTAAGTGATGATATTTATAATCTAATTCCTCAGCCATCACAAATGCGTGTGTGTGTGTTTTTCTAGAAAATATTTGACTTTGGAAACTTATCATTCCTCAATAGTGATTGCTCCCTTATGCGGTGTCTTTTACCATTTTATTTGAAATGTATTTCCCATCTAACAGTAACCAAGATAGTTAATTTGAAATTGAGTATGTTTTCTTCTTTTGTTTTTTTTTAGCTTTTTAAATTTGATTAAGGTATTAACTTCTGACTTAAAATACATTTATATAACTCCTCTTCCTTATAAAAGTAGCAGAAAATATAGAATAGGGAAACTGAGGAAATGAGGTATTAGAATAAACATACTGATATTTGAGGTATGGTTAAAATTCATACACTAGTTTTTAGAAGGTTATTTGGCTTTGTTTCAGCTTTTAAATTATAAAATGGGTAAACTAGACCTGTAGGAGTAGATGGACACAATCATACAGACTTATTTCCAGAATATCTAAAGAATTATTATAACTCAACAATGCGAAGGCAAGCAACTCAATTTAAAAATGCACAACTGATTTGAATAAACATTTCTTCAAAGAAGGTGACAAATGAGAATAAGAACATGAAAAGATGTTCTACATCATTAGTAAGAGGAAAATGCAAATCAAAATCATGTATCTGCTAGGATGGCCATAATCAAAAGATAATATCAAGTGTTGGTGAGGATATGGAGAAACTGGAACTCTTTGTACATTGTGTTGGGGTTGTAAAATGATACAGTCTCCTTGGAACATATTCTGGCAGTTCCTCAAAATTACTGTATTGGCCCAGCAATTCCATTCTCAGGTCTATACCCAAAAGAATTGAAAACATACGTCCACATAAAAACTTGTACATGGATGTTCACAGTAGTATTATTCATAATAGCCCCAAAGTGGAAACAACCCAGATGTCCATCAACTGTTGCATGGCTAAACAAATGTGGTGTTTTCATATGGAATATTATTCAGCCATAAAAAAGAATGAAATACTGATATATGCTACAACATGGATGAGTCTTGAAACATGCTAAGTGAATGAACTCAGACATAAAAGGCCACATATTGTATGATTTAATTTATATGAAATATCTAGAAAATGTAAATCCTTAGATACAGAAGGTAGGGTAGTGGTTGCCAGGGGCTCGAGGAAGAGGGAATGAGAAGGTACTGCTAATGCATATGGAATTGCTTTTTGAGGTGATGAATATGTTCTAAAATTAGGTATTACTGATAGTTGTACAATTCTGTTAATATACTAAAAACCACTATAGTACACTTGAACAGGATGAATTTTATGGTTATGTGAATCAGTTTTTAATAAAGCTATTATAAAAAATAACTACTTTTATTATAGTGTATTTAGATAAATTTTTAAGTTTCAATTTTTTTATTTAACAAATTCTGCTAATAATGCATTATGAATCCTGTGATGGTTGATCACTCAGAAGTATTTGAAGATAAAATAAAAACATATCTGTATCACAGTGACAGAATTTGATATTTAAATAATGGTGTAATAGAATAATTTGTACTTTGATTTCTTTTGAACTAAATGTTAAGTAGAATTTTGTTCTGAGATTGATTTTTTTATTGTTACATTTATTTTTGGTAAATATTAATAAAAAATTACCTATAGACTATAGAATGTATATGTATTAGTCTCAAACTTATGCCAGAATAGAAAATAAACTAGAAATGGAATTGACAAAATTGCTTAATTACTAATACTATAAATTGTGAAAAGTTAGTGCACTACTCTTGAATGTTTCTTAATATTTTTCAAATTCAATGTTAAGAAAATTTGAGGAAAAAATCATAATTTGGAAGTACATCTGTATCTTATGAGTAAGATGGATCTGGGTATTGTAGTGGAATGAGCTTTCTAAGATAAGGCAATCATATGTTTTCAAGTCTGTATCCCCAGTGCCTGGCACAGTACCTGACAGATGGCAAGGCATTGTGTTTAAAGGTGTTTAAAAAATATTTATTGAATGAACAAAAAATGTGGTGATGTGTAGTAATTTAGTTTACGTAAGTTTTCTCTTTTGGCTGCTTCCTGCCGTTGAAATTCAAGTCTGCCTTTGAAGAGATTATTGAAATACTAAAACAAACAAATAGGCCATTATTTAGACTTTTCTCAACCAGGCACATTTCTAAAATATTATATCTTCAGTTTTATAAAATTCATGTTTAAGGAGGAACAATTTACAGACAGTATAATTCATCCCTTTTAAATGTACAATTCAATGCACTTTGACACATGTTTTAAGTGCCACCTCAATGATATATAGAACATTTCCATTTCCCCAAAATGTTCCCTTGTGCCTCTTTGTAGAAAATCCCTTCACTTCACCCCCAATCCCTGGCAACCACTGATCTGATTTCTATCCCTGTAGCTTTACCCTTTTAGGATGTCATGTAAATGAAATCATACAATATACCCTTGTGTCTGGCTTCTTTCACTTAGCTAAATGCCTTTGAGATTCATCTGTGTTGTTGCACAAGTATCAATAGTTCATTCCTTTTTATTTTGAGTGGTATTTCATCTACATTTTTGGATTTTCAAAAAGATAAATGTGTTGGATCATCTCTATTCATACATAAGTAATAATGACCCAACAACTTTGGATGATCTTACTGCACATCGCAGAGAGTATGAGGTAATTGGTTCTGCTAGTATGTTCCACATGTGACCATGGATGTTCCTGTTCCAGAACATTTAGCTTGCAGTCATACTGCAAGTTTGGGATATTTCATAGGTGGCTCTGCAGCTATGTGTAAACTTAAGCTCAGGATTTTATTTATTTTTTTCTCTAAGACCCTAACTAGCTTAGCTGATGCCCTTGCAGTTTACATTATCTCTTAGGATGTTGGATTGTGATCTAAATTTTCATGGACTATCTGACCAAATACTAAATAAGTAAATAGCTTTTAAGCCTTGAGAGAGATGGCTACCACACAGCTCAGCTCATAAATAATTGTGGTTTCCAAGCCCATGATTTAGAGAGATTAGTGTATTTTATGGCAATATTATGATATTGCCATAATTGCAGAAGATGAAGAACATATTATAGTCTATATATTTTATTCTAGTGTACTATAATCTGCTTTTTTGTTTCTGCCAAGTCTGAGAAAAGAATCACAACTAATCAGTCAAATGGACTCAGAAGAATCACATTTACAGTGACATGGTTGGCAGCAGAAGCATGTTAAATTTAAGTGACTAGAAAACAAATTTCTATTTTATTTTATAGAAACAGTCAAATGCTTGATGAAGATGACATACTTAATGAAACACCAAACTCCCCTGTGATTAATTTACCTGGTGAGACAACTGGTGCCTCACAGCTGGAAAGAAGCACAGAAGTAATGGAGACCCAGACTACTACTACAGAGAGTGTGGTGAGAAATTTAGGATTTGATCCATTGGTAGCATGTTCCCTAAGTTATTTCAAGGGGAGAAATGACAGTATTGCTAACATTGATCTGCTTTTGCTCTTTTTATGTTAAGCTCTGGAGAATATCACACTAGTCCAACACTTCCACTAATAGAGATAATGAATTTCTTTGTAAGAAATTTGATTAACTCAGTTCACAGTTGCAGATGGATATTTTAATGGTAGCTTTCTGTAAAGTAAATAATTTTACAAATTCGTTAAGGTTGCATGATTCTTTTTAGTAATTAATATGTAGATGCCTTTTTAGTCTTTTCTAGGTGAATGTAGAGACTTCAATAAGCAGCAGCCAGATCTTGCCCAGAGGAAAAGAATCCTTCCAGCTTGGATGTTAGCAGAGAATTTAAGTGATCAGAACCTTTCAGCACCAGCCATCAGTGGAGGTAGGTTTTTGTTTCTGCTAATGTTGACTTTCAACAAAACGTTAAACAGAATTTGAAAGTTTTTCTAAACAAACATTATAAACTATATCTATACAATAGTGGTTGTGTAAGGGCATAGCTTAGCCTAAAATTTTTGTAGGTATATACATGAGGTCTAATTTAAAATATAAGATATTATTTTATGCTGTTTATCAAATACCACCCTAATAATTTTTTTCATTTGACAAGTACTATTATATGCTAGACTTACATTAATATGGATTTTCAAACAAACCTGTTGGCGTCATGTCTAAGTAAAAGGCTAACACAATAAGAGTGCTGAAAATTAATTTAATTAAATAAGAGAGTGTCCGATGCACAATGTTATGTGCTGGGGGATACAAAGAAGATGTGACCTGTGTCCTGATGCAGCTCATTGTCATGGTAGCTATCTCAATGATTTTATGTCTTTGTATCAAGATTTTTAAAATCTTATTTAAGCAACTTATTTGTTGGGAAATAACAGAAACTTACTCAGTTTAATTGAAGGGGGATTTGTGAGGTTAGTCAGGGTGACTCTCCAAATCCAAGTATAGGATGTATAATCAGGTCTCATGGGAGACAGATGATTAGGCTGTCCCTCCCTTCTTCTCTTCTGTGGGTACATGACCTATCTTCTGTTTCTCCTCTTCGCTGCAAAGGATGGTCATTTCTATTCACCTGTAACTTTGCATGTCGGTTTGTCTTGCCTAATTTCTGACATTGGCCAAATTCTCCTCTTCTTAAGCCTTCACTGCCTGCCAATTACTGGAATATTTTGTCTATCTACTCCAAATTCTAGATAAAAGAATCTGGCCCACTTTGAACCACATCGCCCAGGTCCAGGTTTTCTGGGAGAGTATGGTCAGGAAGGAAATGATGGGTATCTATAACATGCACATACATATATTAATATAAAAGTTGGTCAGATACCTATATAAATAGTTTAAAATCTTATCAGTTCTGCCATGTAGTATTACTTCTTTGAAACTATTAGTAATAGGTCTAGCGATACAATGTTAGAAATGGAACAAATAGAACTTTGGTGCTAAAGTGCTTTTTTGCGGTTTTTCTGCATAATGCTATAAAAACTGACTAGGAAAATAGGAAACTTTCCCAAATCTGAACACTGTGTTTTTAATTTTATTTGTGAAAAGTTTCAAAAATAAACTAAAAGGAACAGTACATGTAATGAACCGCCATGTACCCATTACACAGATGCAACCATTAACAATATTCTGCCATTCTTGTTTATTTATTACTTATTACAGAAGATACTCTTTTGTGTCTAGCTCCTTTTTCTTAGCAAAATGTCTGAGATTCACTTATGTTTTTGTATATATTAGTAGTTTATTTTTATTGCTGACGCGTATTCTGTTGTTTGAATATATCAGTTTGTTTATCCATTGTTCTGACATTTGGGTTGCTTCCAGTTTTTGGCTGTTGTGAAAAAAGCTGCAATGAATATTCTTATACAAGTACATATGTAGACATATGCTTTCATTTCTCCGGGATGAATATCAAACAGCGGAACTTTTGGGTCAATGAGTAGGTGTATGTTAACTTTATAAAATGCTACCAAATCTTTTTCCAAAGTGGTTGGACTATTTATATAGGTTCTAGAAATAATATGAGAGTTCCAGTTACTCTACATCTTCACCAATATGTTTTAATGCAGTCTTTTTAAGTTTTAGCTATTCTCACAGTGTGCAGTGGTACCTTACTGTGTATTTACATAAGCTTTTTAAGTGTACAACTCTGCATTTATTTATTTGCATATTGATATTGCATATTATATTTTGTTAGACTGGTGTATTAGTTCTGGTAGCTTTTTTTATATATACTTTGGGATTTTCTATATAGACAATATTGTCTGTGAATAGAGACAATTTTACTTCTTCCTTCCCAATGTGTATGCCTTTTGTTTCTTTTTTTTTGTTTCTTTCTTTTTGTCCCCTCTTAATTGAATTGTCCAGGAAATCCAGTACAATGTTGAAAAGAATTGGTGGTAGTCAACATGTTTGTCTTAATTCTGATATTCAGGGAAAAATAGCATTTTTTGATTAAATTTGATATTACTCATAGGTTTTTCATAGATTCCCTTTTTCAGATTAAAGAAGTTCCTTTCTATTTCTAATTTTCTCAGAGTTTCTATCTTGATGGGTGTTGAATGTTGTTGAATGCTTTTTCTACATCAAATAAAATGATCATATGGTTTTTATTCTTTATTCCACTAATGTGGTGATTATGTCAATTGATTTTTGAATATTAAATCAACCTCTCATTGCTGGATAAGACCATTTGAATATGATGTATTATCTATTTTTATATATTCCTTAGATTGATGTGTTAAGGATTTTATCTATGTTCTTAGTGATATCGATCTATAATTTTCTTGTAATACCTTTGACAGGTTTTGATATAAGGGTTATGCTGATCTGATGAGTTGGGAAATATTACTCCTTCATCTATTTTCTGAAAGAGTTTGTCTAAGTTCAGGCTGTTAAAACAGAATGTCACAGACTAGGAAGCTTAAACAATAAACATTTATTTTGTCATAGTTCTGGAGGCTAGAAGTTCAAGATCAGGGTGCTAGCATGGTTGTATTTTGGTGAAGGCCCTCTTCCTGGCTTGTAGGTGGCTGCCTTCTCTCTGTGTCTCACATGGCGTAGAGAGAGAGAGCTCTGGTCTTATCCCCGTTTAAGGGCACTAATCCCATTCAAGAGGCCTCCACCCTGATGACCTAATTACCCCCCAGGTACCATCTCCAAACACCAGTCACATTGGGGTTTAAGGCTTCAACATATGCATTTTGAAGGGATACAGACATTGATCCATAGTGGAATTTATGAAAAATTGATATTATTTCTTTTTTAAATGTTTGACAAAATTTCCTAATGAAGCCATATGAGCCTAAAGTTTTCTTTGCTGGAAGATTTTTATCTTTGGATTTAAGTCATTTGACTAATACGTAATAGGTGTGGTCTACTCTGTATTAATCTTTCTTGAGATTCATTTACCTTCTTGACTGTCATTCACCAGATGTGGAAAGTTTTTGCCATTTTTTCAAGTATTTTTCTTTCCCATTTTCTTTCTCTTCTTTCTGTAGATTTCTAATTGCATATATATTATACTGTCTGATATTGTCCCAAGTAATCTGTTAACTCTGTTTGTTTTCTCTGTTCTTCAGGTTGGATAATTTCTGTTGATAATCCTTCAGGTTTACTGATTCTTTTTTTCTGCCATCTCTAATTTGCTGTTAAGCCTATTTAGCAAATTTTTCATTTTAGTCATTGTACTTTTCAGTTTAGGAATTTCTATTTAGTTCTTTTTTGTATATTAATAGTTTCTGTTCCTCTGATGAGATTCCCCATTTATTCAATCATTATGTGTGTGTGTGTATACACACATATATATTCCTATAAATCCTTGAGCATATTTATAATAGCTGCATTAAAGTCTGTATCAGGGTGCAACTTTTCAATCATCTGAGGTTTAGTTTCTATTGGTTGCTTTTTAAAAATACGTGGGTCACATTTCCTATGTATTGGATGTTTTGAATAATATGCAAGTTCTTGATTTTATATTCCCCTGAAGAAATGTATTTGTTCTAATTGGCAATTGATTTGGCTGGATTCATGAACTCTGTTTCCTCTCTTGTGGACAGCAGCCGCTGTCTCTACTTTGTTTTCACTTTCCAGCTGCTGCTTTTTTTTGTGGATTTCCGGGATCTCCTCCATACACATGTAGTTTAGCAGTCAGCCAGGACTTGGGTCAATTTAATATGTAGGGTTTGTTTCTTGCCCCTTCTGAGGCTACCTTCCTTTCAGGATTTTATCCTTAACCTTCTGTCTGTTCTACTAGCCTCAAACTCTGTCCTCTGACCATTCAAGCTAGTAGAGTTGTAGGTTTCTGCCACCTATGAATTAAAGAACGCCCTCAGGAAAAAAGCTGCAAATTCACAAACTTCATAGGTTGTAGTCAGTTTTTCAAGGTTAGACTCTTCTCCGGCTCTGTCTTTTTGGTCATTCTCCAGTGCCTTCAAATAGTTGTTCTTTAATATTTTATCCTGAATTTATCATGGTTTTATTTGAGATGATTAGTTCAATTAAGCTATTCTGCCATTTTATCCTGTACATTTTCTTTTATAAATTAACAGCACAAATGAATATATATTTTAATTGAAACGTTACTACTCTTAGTGCTTCTCATAGTTTGCATAGAAGTCATCTAAAGTTTTTGATCAAGTATGTTATACACAGAATATACCTTATTTAATGATAATTTAGATTATAGTAAAATCAGAGTATTCTCATGGGAAAAGTAAGCTATAGATTATGTGTTGAGGGGGATGTGGTTAGAGTTTCCTGGTAAGAGTTTTATTCCAGTACAGTGGTTTTCAATCTACCCTTTCCTCTGACAATTATTTCGTGTATATATTTTTATCAATAACATCTCTCATTAAGTGTGGTGATCTTTAATTTGCAGGAAGGAAAAGGAGGGTGGTAGTAGAGAGGGGAAGGCTCTTTCCCTCAGAAGAAAATTTCTCTGATAACAGAAAGAATAACTTTACTTGACCAAAAATTGGATCAATGTGAAATGCCTCCCTGCAAACAAGTTCTTTTCTTTTACAGTTGTTTTATACTGTAACTGCCTCTGTGACACCACTTGCTTATAATAGTCCAAAATATATTTTGCTTCAAATATATTTTCTTTCACTTGATTGATGTCCCACATAAAATCTGAAGCAATTTTTTGGGCACTTTATCTTGAAAATACAAATGCGAGTTATTTGACCTTGGTCTGTACAGAATGTTACATAGTATACAATGTACTTAACATGCTAAAGCTTCAAAAGAAGACAGAAAAGTCTTTGGATTCAGATACATCTTTTTATAAACTTAGACTTCAGGAGAAGTACTTATATGAGCAAGATTAGGTTATCTAATTCCTTTAAAGACAGAAACATTTAGAAGTATAGG